GTTATAGTTTTCTCTTTCAGTTTGGAGGTGCCTATGTAAATACATATTCACCTCAATGAAAAAGCACCGAGAAGGATTGGGCTTGCTATTGAAGAATACAACTTGCTTTTATCTTACCTTTGTCAAATATCAACTTATACATTGATGATTTTCCTGATCCAGGTGTTTCCTAAGATAAAAGATTCTGAACAGGTACTTGTGCTTTAGCCTTCTTTGAAAAAATGCTGTAGTTGTATTAATTTTAAAGTGTTGCTATATTTTCCATTCATTGAGCTCTTTTTTAGGGTGGGATTATGCTATTTGCGAGTTCTTACTTTGAATTTGTTCGACTTCGAAATTTCTTGAAGTCTCAGAATGCATCATTCTGTTTACTCGGGGAGTAAGATACTATATATCTACTTTCATTCTGTGTTATCAGTTCAATTCATGCTGTATGCTGGTTGCCTTCTGTCTTTGTTTTAAAACTTTACTATCCCCTATTGGTTAGTCATAAGTTTTTTCTTTGTTTTTAGTTACACAGATCAGAGAGATATATCTCGTGCACGAGTTTGGTTTTTTGAACGGAAGCGAAAGATCATGCTCTACACTGAGAGAATTCATTTTTATCGCAGATATAAGGTTCTTTAAACTGCTTTTCTCTCTGTATTCATAGCACAATGGTATTTCCTTATTTAGACACCCTACACTGGCTTTTATTTTTGTGACATCTTGTCAATTGTGATTTGAATGAATATGAAAAGTAAAATGAGTTCTGCCAATACATGGTGTTAATGCCTCTTAATTTTCCTGGTGCCTAGATTCGTGGTATTCGAAATTTGATCATCTATTCTCTCCCAGAGAGGAAGGAGTTTTACCCTGAGGTAAGTGTGATTACCATAAAACTTGATTACCCTTTTCTCTGTTGCTCAGCTTTCTTTCTAACTCTAATTAGTACATGCCTCTTTGATTCCAGATTGTCAATATGCTTGAAGGGTCAGATGACGTGGCATGCACCGTATTATTTTCTCTGTTTGATAAGCTACGGGTAATGTCTTATGATCTTGTTACGTAGGTTAGTCATATGCAATCCAAGCTTGCCGGCATATCTCCTCCATTGCAGGATGGCAGTGGATAGAGTTGTGATGATAGTATTGGAGGGTGATAATTGTTTATGGGCCTTCTGGCCTTCACCTTGGTAAAGAGCAGCAGTATTTGCTGTGATAGTATTGTTTTTAGTTTTTGTCGAAGATGTTTTGTGGTGGTTAAAACAGCAAATCTGCTCTGACCTTTAATTAAGGTTCATATTGCATCAGAAACTGAGCAAAAGCTTGGAAAGTAATTAAGAAAGATTAGGCTGAAAACCGAAAGCATGCATAGTTGGTTATGTTTTCCTTGATCATCATTGACATGTATGAATCTCTGTACTACAGTATTCTTGAATTGTCCGAGTTTCTTTTCCTTTGATATATTTGGTTTACTGACATTAGTATTTGCTGTCTTCTGACTTCTGCCTTGCTAGCTTGAGAGAATAGTTGGATCTGCTCCGGCAAAAAGAATGATCAAATCAGAAAAGGGGGTCTTTGTTTTCTGCTGAAACTCAATTTTCTTCCTGGGAGATCATAGCTGGTGGCCAGGGAAGAATGATGGAAGGCAACTTCCCGCAAGGAACAATGACTGTCATGAGGCTGTATGAGGATTGCTAACAAAAATTAGAAATATCATCATATTCTTATAGAAACCGTTAGTTGTTATCGTTAGAAGGCAAAGCCACCATAGATTAGTTGTTTTTTAGGCCTCAGCAGGTGATTGGAAATCTGGTTTGATTATTGTCGTCTTGTTGAACATGTTCCTTCCTATATAGAAAATTGAACTGTTACCTCCACAATGCTGTTTTTCCCATGAGTTTTCTCAATGTATAACTAAAAGGGTGTAACGTAACTTGTATGATGGAATGCATTCTATTTGGCTGTCAATTTTATATAGTAAGTAGCAAAACTAAATGCAAAACAGAGCAATATCTTTACACATATAAACTATTAATATTATAGTGCAATTGAATTACCAGTTAGCAGTTAGAATTTTAATTATGTATAATTGTGTTGTCTTGATATTTAAGTGCAAACCAAAGTAGAATAGTAACTGCAAAATAGAATGCCTATGAAACGTCCAAAAAATAAATTTTAATTATGTATAATTGTGTTGTCTTTTTTTTTTTTGGTTTAAAACCTTTCCCAAAAAAAAAAAGAAAAAAGAGCTTATTACTCATGAGATAGTCCTCAGCTGAGTTTTAAGAGCCTGTTTGATTTAATATTTTTTTAGTTTAAAAGTTATTATAAAGTTTTTATAAAAAATAATAAATTTTAAAATTACGTTAAAATTATTTAATAAGCTTTATGATAAAATAAATTATATAAGTTTTAAGTTTGGTTAAAATAACCTATTTATGTTTTATTCAATCACTTAATAAATTTTTAAATATTAAAATAAAAAAATTATAAAAAAGGAATAATTTCAAAACTTGCATAGTAATTATAGTATTAGAATTTTTGGTAAAAAGAGAAAATATTTAAATAGTATTTGAATGAAATTTTGAATTTTGAGTTTTCGTTTTTGTTTCTCTTAATTTTTGTAGGACTGAAAAAATTTTAAATTTTGGTTTTTTTGTTGTTGGGTTTTTTTTTTTTAGTAATTTTTGTAAAAAGAGGTAAAAGAGAATGAGATCAAGATTTTGTGTGAGAAAATGGTGATTTGAAAAGAGAAGGAGAGGAGGAGATTAATTGAGAGAGAAAGGTATTTCTTAAAAAGTTGGTGTGTTTTAAAAGGAAGAGAAGAAAAAGCTCTTCAATGCAATTTTTCTCTAAATTTTTTTTAATTTTATTTTTTAGAAAAAAAATTATTTTATTTTAAGAATTTTTCAAAAAATCTTGTTTAACTTTGCTTTCACTTCTAAAAAATACATAAGTTGAAAAAAAAATCAAACCAAATAAGTGCTTGCCCTACTAATAATAAACATGAATGGGAAACATCTGTATTTGGAGAGAATATTTTGGTTATAATTTGTCAAAAGAATGGTACTAGTGCTTTGTTCAAATTTTGAATTTGATCTCTCTACTATCTCAAATTGATAGTTTTAGTTTTTATTTTTTAATTTTAATGAATTTGGTCCCTCTTCCTTCTTGACAAGGAAACTTGGAGTCCACATTTCAAGAAAAATACATACAACATTGGAGCAAAAAGATAATTTTTACTAAAAATCGAATTAAAAATATTTTATAATAAATATTGAAACTTTGCCTTTAAATTAGTGTGTTTTTTTTGTCTAATAACTTAACATGTTGAGATAGATTAATCTTTTGATTATAGGACACACATCAACTTCAAATAGATCATATTTATTTTTAATTATATAATAATTAATATTTTTAAAAAATTTTAAAAGAGATCTTAGAAATTTTTTTATTAAACATAAATTTTTAAGTAAAATACTCTAACATCTCTAAGTTTATTAAACGAATCCATTAGTTTTTGAAATAGATACTCCGCCTCAAAAGTGTAAACACCGTTAACAAAGATGATGGAAGAACTAAAATACTCCTTTTTCTTTATTAATTGAAAAGATTATTATTATATTTTTTAAAATATAAAAAAAGGTTCCGATCCTCAACTTTCTTTTTAATTAATAAAAATTATATAATAGTAATTTTTAAAATTAATAGCTAGTAAAATTATCATTTCAATATTATCACATCATCAAATTAAAAGAAACATTAACGGTTGGATCTATATGTCCAATGAAAGATAGTTTTTTAAGATGAAATGTTTAATTCGAAAACTAATAGACCTATTTAGAATTTTGATTAAAATTTAAGAAGTTAGATGTATTTTACCTTAAATTTTTTATAGTAATGTGTGTCATGTGATTTAAAAAATTCAAGTTGATATGCTACGTTATCAACAGCAAAATCATGCCATCAAATTTTGTTATAGAGTTTTAACATAATTATCAATTTATTTTAAATCAATTTTGTAAAAATATAAGAACTAAATTTATTATAGTAAAAAAATTATAACCAGGTCACCAGCATATGTGAGAATAAAGCACAGCCAAAAATGAATAGTGTCTTCATGCTTTTTAATCAAGATGATTTTTTTGAAAGTAATTTATATTGTGGTAGTTAAATGTAGCTTCATTTTTCCATTTTCAAAGGGGATATTGCAAAACAAGAAAACCTCTTCCCTGATATTTTGATAAAACCAATAAAGCATATTTCAATTGTAAAAAGCCCACGTGAAGTTGTTGATAAGATGGTCTCACAATAAGATTGGTTGCTAATCAACGCTAATAGAGCTCATCGAACTTCATGCCAATAATTCACTACAAGAGATATTCTTCGTGTACTTTGAGAATTGAAAATGTCATTTCTTTGATCAAACTTGAAATTATCCTACATATCAAGTAAAATTATGAAGTGTTTATTGAGAATTGTCGATCTCATGAAATAAATGATGTCATAAGATAATTTTGGTTATAGACAATAAAATTGCTACATAGATGATTTAAATGGAAACATATGAATCAAATGTTAATTAATATTTGACTTTAACTATTAAAGATCCCTTAAAAAAGGAAAATTTTCTTGCTAATATGGCTTTTCAAATTTCTTGTTAATACTACCCTTCTTCTCATAGATCCTCTTAGAAGCAATGATTTAATTTTATTAAGAATGTTATGAAAATATCATTCCATTTTGACATAAATAAATTATTTTTAGTTCCTTCTAAATAAAAATATAGCAGAGAAAACAAATTCTGACGTCAATCTAATCCCTTTTTTCTTTTCTCGGTTTTCGTCGGATGGGCTTGGGCTACATAATCAAATTATCCGTTGGTTACTAAATCGGGCCGGGCTAAAAGGAGGACATAACAGGTATTAAGAAATAATGGAGGGAGGGAGGAGTCATTTAGGATTGAGAAATCTAGGGTTTTGCTTATATACGGTGATATCATATATAAATAACAGACAAATCTAGCAGACCGTGTCTCTGCGTTTCGGTCTCCCTGTGCAAATTTGCGATTCGTGGTGCGTGAGACAAATAAGAAAAAGAATGGGAGTTTTCACCTTTGTGTGCAAGAGTAGCGCCGGGGAATGGACTGCCAAGCAGTGGGAGGGAGAACTTGAAGGTTCTGCTGCTTCTGCTTACGAGCTCCAGAGGAAACTCGTTCAGTGTGCCGCCGCCGTCGACTCCTCTGGCGGCGTTAGCTCCTCTTTTTCTCTCATCACTCCTAACTCTGCTGTTTTCCAGGTTTTTCTTTTTCATCCTTCCTCCTTCATTATTTACATCATCTTCGCATCTTAACCCTCTTTGTTTGTCTACCTCAATCTATTTTCCAAACCGTTGGATCGCTTGTGGATCGGAGACTTTAATTGTTGAAAAAATTAAAAACCGTAATCTTCACGAGGGAAAAAAAGGGGTTTTTGCGAAGTATGTGTGCAGTGTTTTGTTAATGATTGGATGAATATTAGTATTACACGTTGCAGCTGTTGAGCAGTTTGGTGTATGACAATTTGTATGGTACAGGTGATTATCGGAGGTGGCGGAGGCGGAGGTTTCATAGGAGGAGGAGCTGCAGCTCCTGCTGGAGGCGCTGCCCCAGCCGCAGAAGCACCAGCAGCTGAGGAGAAAAAGAAGGAAGAGAAAGAGGAGGAGAGTGACGATGAAGATATGGGATTCTCACTCTTCGATTAAGTGCCTTTCTGTCTATTACTTAGCGAGTTATTGTTTACATTTACATGTTTCTTTTGTTGGTTTATGCTACCCCAACTGGCATTGGGTTTTTCGAGTTAGGAAATTGACACTTTTATAAGTATGTGGTTTATCTTGAGCTTCTATTTTCAAATTCTTGTTTTGTTTCATATTGCCTTTACCTCTTATGTCATTGATTTTATGGTCGATTAGCTATTGCTTTGGTATGGAAAGAGAATTGAAAGAACAAATTAACTTGAGAAATAAAGCTACTTCTGCCCCCCAAGAGCAATGTTGCTCCACTGGGGATGAGCAAAACCATCTAAACCGATTGGAGTGGCTGTACTAAGTATGATAAGTTGGGCTTGGTTTTTGAAATTTTAACACTGAATCGATCAGCACATCCTTACCATTCATAAGTAGCAGATTTGAAGTCTTGAATTCAAATCTTATAGAAACCTCACCCCTTCTCTCTAATTTCGTCACAAGCTATCTTTTTATCCATTAAATACATGCAAATCCATTAATCACTCCTTGGGTTTATATATATATATATATATATATATATTTGGATAATTAAACATAACACTTAGTTGGCGTTTGGTACTTTACAATACAAGTTAGATAACATTGTAGTGTTTGATTTACATGTATTTTATTTGGTTTACAAGTGTCTTATTTTAATTTTCAAAATTACCTTTTATTAAAATACAAGTTTAATATATTTATATTTTTTATTATTAAATTTTATATAATATCATCTCTTAAATATATTTTTAATATTATATATTTTATTTTTATTTATTATTATAATTTTATATATTTTATTTTTAATATATTTATATTTATATTATTAATTTTTATATAATATCATTTCTTAAATATATTTTTAATATCATATATTTTATTTTTATTTATTATTATAATTTTATATAATATATTTTTATATTATATATTTTACTTTAATTTGTTTTATTTATATTATATAAATTTTAATTTTTTATATTTTATTTTATTTTAATTTTTGATTTTTATATTATATATTTTATTTTAATATTTTTATTTTAATTATAACATTTTAAAATATTTTTAATAAGGTAATAAAGTTGAAGGGTAAAATTGTTTTTAAGAGCATTATAGAGTGCAATGTAATGTGATTGCATTGATTTTGGACTATAATGACATTACATCTCTTGATTATAATGTGATTACATTGCAATTTTACATTGTAATAGTTTGTTACAAAACAAACACTGTAATATAATTTAATTAGATACATTGCAGGGATTGTGTTTTCACTTTCTTTATACCAAACGCTTCCTTAGGTCATTGAAATTAATTAGTCAGTTGAACATGTTTGCCACAGTATTAGAGGAAGAGTTTAATACCCTTAGTTGAAATGAAAGTATATTTACAGGTTACAAAGGTGAAAGGAGAGGTGAATATAGGAGATAAAATGACTAATGCCTAAACTTTTGGTTTTTTGATTGTCCACTATAACATTATACATACCTTATATTATTGTATATATTCAAAAAAAAATTAATTTTAAATTGATAATTTAATTTTAAAAATTATTGTCATTTTAAATTCTTTTCCTATTTAAAAAATATTTGATACATTTTAAATTGATATCATTTCAAAACTTTTCAAAACTGTTTATTATGTTGATGTAATGAAGAGCGAAACAACAGAGTATATGAATTGGAGATAAAGATAAGAATTATTTTATTAATGCAAAAAAAATAAAGTTTATATACCTTATCTATATAAAGACACTTGAAAGTATATTTAACAAGTGTAAATGTTGGTTTACATGCAAACCAACACATCAAAGGACAACTCACATACAGTCTTAATATTAACTATTAGTACAACAAAGCAAATTTAATCCAAAAAGAGGACAATGTGCTTTCAGAGTAACATCTACTTGTTGCCACCATACAAGTATTATTCCTCAACATTCCTCCATAATACTTGCATCTTGCACATTCATTTTGCTTCTCAAGTACTCGAATCTTGGTTTTCCTAATGCCTTAATCATAATATCAGCTATCTGTAGATCTGAACAACAATACTGAACATTAATTTCACCTAACCTCTCAGCATCTCTAATGGCATGGAACTTTACTTGAATATGCTTGGTCTTGCCATGAAACATAGGGTTCTTGGTGATAGCAATGGTTGATTTGTTGTCGACCAATAAAGCAGTAGGAAATTTTTGAGGAAAATGCATATCAGTGAGCATTTTTCTCAACCAAATAGCTTGGTTGGAAGTTGCAGTTGATATATACTTTGCTTCAGCTGTAGATTGGGCAACAATGGATTGTTTTTGTGAGCTCCAACATAAGGCTCCATTTCCAAAAGAAAAAATGTAGCTTGAAGTGCTCTTGGAACCATCTCTATTTCCTGCCCAATCACTATCAGAGTACGCAGTAAGAAGAAGTTTGGATTTCTAGTGTAATAGATTCCAAAGTCTAGAGTGCCTTTCAAATACTTCAGCACACGTTTTCCAGCTGCAAGATGAAGATGTGTACGCTCTTTTATTAACTTAGACAGCAAGCTCATAGAGAACATGATATCTGGTCTTGAAAAGCATATGAATAGAAGGTTGCCAATTAAGCTTCTAAATTGAGATGGATCCTTTAATTTGCTACCATTATGCATTGAAAGTTTCTCATTTACAGCTAATGGTGTAGCTACAGGTTTGCACTGGAGCGTATGAAATCTTCTTAAAACCTCATTGACATATTTTTGTTAGGACAAATATACTCCTACAGCAGATTGTTTAATCTCTAGGCCAAGAAAGAAACTCATTAGACCCAAGTCGAACATTTCACATTCATTTTGCATCTGCTTCTTGAACAATTTCAGAGTAGCATCATCTCCTTTAGCAATCATTAAGTCATCCACATATAGTGAGACAACCAATGGAGATTGATTTTCACACTTAAGCACATACAATGTAGCTTCATTACTGCTTTTTGTAAAACCTTTGAAGATCAAATAAGCATCAATTTTGCTATACCATGATCGTGGAGCTTGCTTCAAACCATATAAAGCCTTATGAAGCTTGTAGACTTTGTTTGGTTCATCATCAACTTCAAATCCCTCTGGTTGCTGGACATAAATTTTTTCTTCAAGAATTCCATTAAGGAAGGCAGATTTCACATCAAGATGATACACATTCCATCCACAGGCAGCTGACAAAGCTAACAATAGTCGAATTGTATCAAACCTTGCCACTAGGGCAAATGTTTCCCAGTAATCAACACCAGGCTGTTGATTGTATCCTTTTACCACCAATCGAGCTTTGTATTTGTTGAGAGATCCATCTGGATTCAGTTTCCTCTTGTAAATCCATTTGACTCTAATTATGTTTCTGTTTGGAGGTTGATCAACTAGTGACCGTGTGCCATTCTTATTAATCATGTGGAGTTCTTCTTTCATGGCATTTAACCATTCTAGTTGTTTAGTAGCATTTGCATAGGAAGTAGGTTCTTCAATTATTGCATAACTTCTATGATAGATATCACTGAGTGATCGAGTACCTCTCACAGGCTCATTATCAACATTCTGATCAACATCAGTCTCAATTTCTGGAAGAGATTGGATTAAACTTGGATTTTGAGACTCTGCAAGGTCTTGCATATCCCAACTCCAGCTTGCTATTTCATCAAAGGCCAGATTTCTGCTAATAACAACTATACCAGAATTAGGCAAGTAGGCTCTGTAAGCCTTAGATTTAGAACTATAACCAATAAAAATAGCTTTCTGAGCTCTATGTTGCAACTTATCCCTCATAGCTTCTAGTATATGAACATAACAAATGCAACCAAAGACTCTTAAATGCTCTATTGAAGGTCTTTGTCAAACCAGACTTCATATGGTGATTTACCACCTAGTGTCTGAGTAGGAAGTATATTATGCAAATATACTATAGTGTTGCAAGCTTTTGCCTAGAACTTGGTGGGAAGATTCTTCTTGAAAAACAATGTTCTAGCCATATCAAGAATAATTCTATTCTTCCTTTCATTGACACCATTTTGTTAAGGGGAATAAGGTGTAGAGAACTGATGACAAATGCTTGCTGCCGCAAGAAAACCAAAAAAATTCTTTGGAGACATATTCTCCTCCATTGCCAGTTCGTAGAATTTTAATTCTAAAGCTAGTATCAACTTCCACCATGGCTTTAAATCTTTCTTTGAAACAACTCAAATACTTCATATTTAGCTTTCAAGAAGTATATCCAGCACCATCGAGTTTTGTCATCAATGAAAATCAAGTAATATCTGTTAGTATTCAGTGATTCTACTTTCATAAGTCCTGCTACATCAGAATGAATCAAATTAAGTTTAAATTTGGCTCTACTGCAGCTAGCAGATGAGAAAGGTTTTCTTGACAACTTGCCATATTGACATGCATTGCAAACTAAGCCTTCATCAGTCAACTTAGGTAAGTTTCTCAAAGAACCAGAAGCACTGACTTGCCTGAGTCCCTTTAAGTTGAAATGTCCAAGTCTCTTGTGTCACAAATTTGTCAGATTTGAATATGAATTTCTAACTTGTAGGCATAGTTGATAAGCATTTATCGCGAAACACCTTTCATGCATAGGTATAGTCATCAAATAAGAACCAGAGGCATCAAATATAATACAGGTACTATCTTTGAACAACAAGGTATTGTTATTTTCAACTAACTATCCAACACTTAATAAATTAGAAGTAAGTGTAGGAACTAATAATATTTCAGAGATGTATGTAAGACCTGTGAATGTATGAACTTGAACAGTTCCTTTCCCAATAGTAGGTAGGTAGATTCCATTTCTTATTTTAACCCTTGAATGGTAACTCTTGTCTAAGCTAATAAAAACAGTTTCAGTTGGAGTGACATGATTTAAACTCCCACTATCCAATAACCATTCTAAGCTGATAAAAACAGCTTAAGTTGGAAATTTGTTCTGGCATTTCTAAAGCCATGACCAAATTTTCTTCAAAATTAGCAGTAGCTTCAACTGTCTGAAGAACTTTATCAGAAGCATATAACTTCTTTTTGCGTACTTTCTCGACATGTCCCATTTCATTACAAGCTTGACACTTAGCATATGATCTAAACGAACAACGATCTTCTGATGGTTTCTTTTCTTGCAGTAAGTACAGACTTTGAATTTACCTTTCTTGG